TCTATAACTTCACTGCATTTTCATACATTGGGAGCATTTCCCAATAGAAGGTATCCGAATCCCCATGAAACCAAATAATGGAGGAGCACTTACCACGTAGAAATTACTGCGAGAGAAATTTTTTCCGAATGGTATCTAATTATCTATATAACTACATAAAATAATTGCCGTTTTCATTGTTCTGCGAGATGAGAAAAATAAATAATAGCTTGTAAAATTAGGGTAAGTGTAGAGCCAGTGCAGGTAAACGTAGTACTTTCTTTGATAATTGATAATAGTTGCAAATTTTTAAGGCAGGTATCGCTAATGTACAGGTATGTTGAATGCAAGTATCGGAGCAGTTTCCTTATAAGTGTTAAAAATAATGCCGCTGATGTGCATTTCGGGGTAGGTATCTCAAATGTGCACTTAAGCACAAAGGCAGCAAAGCAAAATATACTGTATGTACACTGGCAGTGAGTGCATCCTGTTTTTGTTTAATATTTGCAATGTTTTTAAGTTAAACTTTTTTGTTATTTTCGACGGGAATTGCGGTTTTATGCATATAGCAAATGCAATTTGTAAAAAATAGCGCTAATTTTTTTTATCTGTTTGCAAACGGTCATGCGTATTTTATTCTACAAGAAATTCACTTTTATTTGGTAAAAAGTGCAAATAGCCGTCAGCAATAAATAATCATTAAAAATCAACCGAATTTTTTAGCCGCTTAAAACTTGATCTTGTTCCACTAGAATTAAAAAACCGATCTATCTGCGTACTCAAAATTTTTCTAAAAACTCAGATTAAACAGGTCAAAATTTAGACGAGAATTCGTTGAATTTTTCTATGTTCTGTGTAAAGTTTGAGAGTTTGACTTGTATAGTTTTGATTAAAGCATGAACCACATTTTTATAAAAAGATAATAAAAAAAATTAATTGAAAAACATTGCAAATATTAAGCAAAAAACACTATGCACTCACTTTTGATTGCCAGTATATGTATGCATGTACATATGTGTGTAAACTTTATGCCAAACTATCATTATTTTAAATGTATTTGCATCTTCATAAAAGGTGAACAAGATAAAAAATTTAACAAAAATTACAAATTAATAAAAATTATGTGAAGATTTAGCATACTTTCGTTTATTTGCTGGCAAAGAACATCACATTTCATGTTGCCCAACATTGTATTATGTTATCAACATTAAATTCAACAGAATTTCTACATTCCGACTTGAACTTTTCTAACGCTGTTAATTTTTCGTCCGCGAATAGTTTCCACTTTCAGTTTGCACCTTCTCTATCTATCTAAGTTCTCTGTTCGTAGTACCAGACACCAACATCGGAATAGACACAAAGAGACTTGGGTTTCCCCTGATCAAAGAACCAAATTAATCACATTGCATTAACCCAGCAGAAAATCTGTAATTGCTTCTTGTGTGGACAAACGAACATACATCACTAGTTTAGGATCATTTCGGGACTAGTTCGGCACCTGCTCAGGGCTAGTTCGGGCTCATTTTCGGGAGTATATCGGGACTAGTTCGACATCGTTTTGGGATCGTTTCGGGACCTGTTCAGGACTATTTCAGGACCATTTCGGGACCTGTACAGGACCAGTTCGGAGCTACTTCCCGACTATTTGAGGACCATTTTGGGAGTGGGTTTGGAAAATTTCTAGACTTGTTCAGGACTATTTCTGGACTCGTTTTGTATCATTCGGGAATAAGCAGTTAAGGACGTTTTTAGTTCGCGACTGTTTGAGGACCATTCGGGATTAGTATAGGACTATTTCGGGCTCATTTGGTACAAGTTAAGGACGATCTTTTCGGGACTAATAAGGGATCATTTCAGAACCGTAACAAGACTTGCTCGAGATCAATTCGGGACAAGTTCACGACTTTTTCGGAATCATTTCGGGTTAGCTCGAAACTATTCACGTAATGATCCTGAAATAGTCCTGAACTATTCTCGAAGTGATTATGAAAAATTCGTAATAGTTAAATTTTAACCTAATATATTTATGTATGTATGTAACGCAATCTTTTATGTATTTTCAAGCCGTCCCCCTTTGATATATAAAGAAATCGGTTAGTCAAACAGAAAATACTGCAATTTAGCCGTACGCACATATTTTGTTGATAACTTTTTTAGTGCCTAGGCATATATAAATACGTATCTGTATGTATGTAGTATGTAAATAAGTATCAATGTAGAGTTTCTAATGCACAGCAAAATGTTATTTGGCTCTTTTCTAACCATTCTAATATGACTTCAATATCTGCCGATAATAACTAATTACGTACTAAGTATATTATGTAAATGTTTGCTATCATCTATTTTTAAAGAAAGTAACATGACCACTGTACTATAGTTGATTGCATATAGCCACGGGCTTTAGCTAAGTGTATGTATATGTATACTCATGTAAGTTTTTTTTACTTAAGTAGTTTTGAAGTTGTTGTAACATGTCTTTATGTATTCTTACTCATGTAATTTAATATGTGTATGTATGACTCTTCCATATATTTATTTTCAACAAATCGTATTATTCAAAAATTCATAACAACTCGGCTGACCGGGAATAGCAACAGCGGCCGCCTCATTACGTGTCTTTAAGAAATTGCCCACCCAGTGTGTAGTTAAATCTATATACTTAGTTTTGGCACCAGGATTATAGTCTAGAAATCCAGCTTTCGGAATGACCTCCTCAATTTGACTGCCATCCGGCCAGTTATTGTAGCTGGCTATGTTAATGAAGCCAACGTGATTGAGAATCGCCGTACGCCAAGCGACACCATAGTACTGTAAGGAAAGTGAAGACGAATTGTTTTACGTAAATATGAAAAGTATTGGAATCGACCATTTTTGATTTCAATGAATTTGGTTCAGAACTTTTCTTTTGTCATATAACAAAACTATGCCAAAGGGAAGAAAATAAAAAAAAATATCGAAAGTTCAAAACTTCACAATTTCCCAGATTTTACAAAGTAATTTTGTGAATACCTCAAAAACTAGTCACTAAAATGGTTCTGGTCCCGTTTTAAAAATGATATTTGGGGCTATATAAAAATATGCATATGTATGTATATTAAAAAAAAAAATAAAATGGGAAAATACAAAAACATTGCAGAAAGCTGAAATTAAAAAAATCGTAAAAGCCAAAACTTATATAAATTTTTGGTTAATTTTAAATAATCCCGAAATTTTCAAATGTTTTTTTAAGTTTTGACTTTTTGAACTTTGAAAAAAGATTTTTATTGCAAACTATAAATTATAACTAAATTTAAATTAAATAAAAATGGTTTACCATAACTTTATTTAGAGTTTGCAAACAAACAAATTTTTCAAATTTCGAAAATTCATATCCTTAAAAAACACCTTGAAAATTTCAGAATCTTTTAAGATCAGTTTTAGGTATTGTAAAAAACGATGATCCAAAATTAGTATAAGTTTTTGCTTTTATTATGTTTTAATTTCAAAATACTTTAATTTTTTATTTTAAAAATTTGTTTATATATCTACCAGAAGAGACCAGAACCATTTTTATAACTATGTATAAAATTTTTTGGCTAATTTTAAAGAAACGCGAAATTTTCAAATGTTGTTTTTAAGTTTTGAATTTTTGTACTTTGAAAAAGGGTTTTTATTGCAAACTATAAATTATAACTAAACTTAAATTAAATAAAAATGGTTTACCATTACTTTATTTAGAGTTTGCAAACAAACAAATTTTTCAAATTTCAAAAATTCATATCCTTAAAAAACACCTTGAAAATTTCAGAATCTTTTAAGATCAGTTTTAGGTATTGTAAAAAACGATGAGCCAAAAGTAGTATAAGTTTTTGCTTTTATTATGCTTTAATTTCAAAATACTCTAATTTTTTATTTAAATTTTTTTTTATATATCTACCAGAAGAGACCAGAACCATTTTTGTAACTATGTATAAGAGTTTTTGAGATACTAAAAAAAGAAACAAAATCTGGAAAATTGTGAAATTTAGAATTTTTTCATAACTTTCGAAAAATAAATTTATAATTATTTTTCATTGGCAAAATTTCGTTATATGATAAAGCGACACGTTCTTACCGAAATTCAGCCAATTCAAAAATGACCGAATATAACAATTTGTCGATTTGGCATGGATTGACCCATGTAGAACTTCATTTCCGAAATTTCTACTTAAAAAAGTTCAATACATTGTTGGTTTAAATTCTCTAACTACGAGATTTCCATCATATTTGTTTTTATAAGATCTCTCACTTACCCTCCCATTACTGCGATGCCTTTGTATATCACTATGTCGTGGAAATTTATTCCGCTCTGCAAAACCTGGTCCCACAGTTGGCACAAACAACATTTTATATGTCATTGCGAATGATTTCAAATAGGACCAATTCTTCTAGGTGCTGGCAAAGGTGGCGCCATTACTCGGCAATTTACTGTAGAAGCCTTCGAAACAAAGTCGTCGCATAATATCAACGTGGTTTTTGAGTCTGTAGAGAATATAAATGAGGAATGATTACATTTTTTAGGTGAATACATGTTTGTTTAAACTGATGTGTTTTTCGTTCCAGAATTTGGTTCGTTCAGCAAAACCGTTATTCCTATATGTATATGTATGTATATCAGTGTAAAAAAAATAATACGTTCCAGGTCGAAAAACGCACACACTAAAATATTTCAATATCAACTTTTTTTAATTGTTATATACATAATATATGTAGTATGTATATGTACATATGCTGCCTACATCATTATTGAGTGCTTCTGAAAATAATTACCCCTCCAGTCCAGTGTAGATAATGAAATTATCTATAAAAACTGTTATGACACTTTCGTTATTAGGGATTACTATATCTGAGATATATCGATTCATAATTTTAGTAAAATCACACAATTAAAAGTTTCACTTCAATAATTCATTTGAATGATTAAATAAAGTGAATTTATCTTTTTAAACAGGTGGCACCCTTGTTCAAACAACTCAAAAATTTTTTAATTGCTCTATCTGACTATTTATTAAAATACTTTTGTTTGACACTTACATTTTAATATTTCACTGCGACCTTTAAAACAGGTGGCAGCCCTCTTCAAAAGTATTTTCAAACTAAAACCTTATAAAGCATTCTTTTGTCATTGTGATGCATATGTATTTCAATTAACGGATGAATTACGTTGAATTTGACTTTTCAAATAGCTGGAAACCCTCTGTAAAAGTATATAAATTATGTTAAATTTGACTTTTTAAACAGGTGGCAACCTCCTACATGTGGTTTAAAAATAAAGCTTTTCCAAACCATTTTAACTCAAACCGTATGTAATATTTCATTAAACTTTTTAAATAATTTGAATTTAATTTTTTTCTAACTGGTAGCAACTTTTTTCAACAAACTGAAATCATATTGCACATCTACAGGTCAAGACCCTTAATTTGACGCCTCATTTTTGATTGTCGAACAAACTTTATATTGGCGGTTGTTTTAACTAGCACAGAAATGACTGTACCTACCATTTTTCACCGTAAGTAGGGTATTCACAATCTATACATCTGTGCTAAGTTTCAGTTCCCCAGCATAATTGGTTTTAGAGATATAGTGGTTTTCACATTTTAGTCAATATATCAGATGCCACGCCCCCTATGTATCGGGATTATCATTTCTGGATTAGAAGAAGTTATAGCCTTTTAATCGGTGTATGTTTCATTGAAATCGAGCGAATGGTGCCTTCAAAAAAGGGATTTCAAAATTTTTTTGTGGAGTATTTATATATAGATGTTTGCATTGTGAATTCAGACTTTAACATAGAAAATGTTACTGATACGCCATGTACGATTATGGACATGTACAAGGCGTATGAAGTAGTAATGCATTACATGCGTGATAAATAATGTAATGTATTTCTAATGAGTTCTAGATTCTATTACTGTTTAATATGTAATCAGCATTGTAATGTATCCAAAAAGTCGCAAAAAATTCATATTAAATCACATTCATTTCTGCATTACTGGTAATGCAAAATGGAATGCCTCACTTTTCTTAGGACATCGCCGTGGGAAAAATAATGCATTTTCGAATGTGAAAACGCCTGTTTTACTGATTATTTTTTGGATTACCATACATAACATTTTCCCACTGAGTATGGTGAATAATAATGGATGCTTACCGAAATTTTCGCCAGCATACTCTCCTATGTTAAACCCCATAGGAAAGGCATTTTCGAAGTTAAAATTCCATGACCAATCATTATTAAGTGACATAACTAATAAGGGCCGTTTTCACCATCTCTGGTTAACACTAATCACCAGTCTAATTATTAATAATATTATCACATGATTTTATGTGATTAGATCATGCCGCCAAAAACTTCCATTTATTTTACTAAAATTTTATAAGCCTTGTAACTGCAAACTAAAAAATTTTATAAAAATTCTGATTAAAAAGTTCAAAATTTACATAAAAATGTGTGGAATTTTTCTAAATTCTGAAGTTCTACCCAGTATTGCAGCGGACGACGGTAAATGTGATTGAGTGTTGATTGCAGTAATTTTTATTATTTTCAAAAATTTGGCAATGTTTTCATCCATTTTTATTTCCAGCAAATCTACATACATGCACGTACCGAAAAAATATTTAATTTTAATGAACATTTTCAAGTCAAAATGACAACTGACAATTTTTAAAAAAATGTTTTTTTTTTAAATAAAAACGAAGGTTTATTCCCCATTAAATTCTAAATTTGGGGGTAAGTTTTCACATTTCTATCGTTTTTCGGCTGGGAGATAAGCGTGTCCAAACTTGACAAATTTGAACAAAAAACTTTTTTTTTCAAAACTGAGAAATTAACCCATTAGAAGTCACCGTACTCAATTGAGTACAGTCATATCTCTAAGTGTGGATTATAGTTTTCAAATAATTTTTGGTAGTGTTCTAGTTTTTTTATATTACCATTATACTGTTCAAAGGTATAAATAAGAAGTTCGTGGCTATTGCGATTTTTTTACGTCAAAACGTCAGTTGAAGTTGTGCAACGTGAGAATTGCGCAGGTATGTAAATTATTTTTGAAATATGATAATAATTACTGTATAATCATTTGTTTTCACATTCAATTGCTAAGAAAAATATGTCGAATTAAGTTATAAACTATAAAATAATCAAATAGTTATAATAACAACAAAACTGTAGCCATGTATATCTTGCTGTACTAGGTTGAGTACAGTGACAACTTACGTAAGTAAAATAAGTGTTTTTGTCTTCGGATTCCTAATAATGAGCAAACAACAATTTTCGGCTAAAAATAGCTACAAAGGGCTTCAAGAAGCTATTGATGCCATTATTTGCGATAGTGACGATGGTGATGATGAAGTTCAAATGGTTATCATACCACCTGATCCAAGTGAATTGACCGATGAAGAAGAAGGCGCCGAGGAAGATATGGTGCTATCATCTCTACCGCATGACGTGCCTGGTACTATTGAAGTATTTACGAATCGCAAGGATGGTGGTTATGAAGATAGTAGTAGCGATGATTGTGCGATGAACCGCTAGCAAAAAGAAGACTACTAGATATTATTCGCCGGCCAATCCCAACCTGGCACAAATGTCCCCCTTCATACACCTCAACTTCTCAGCGTACTTCCGAAGTCGAAGATAAGGCAAATGCTATTCGTGAAGAACTAAAAGGCCTTAGCCCTGTATAAATATTTGAAAAACTTTTTGATGAAGATATTGTTGACATCATTATATCAAATAGTCTACTTTATTCAAATCAAAACAACAGACATGATTTTCAACTAGACTCATCTGTTATGAAAAAGTTTCTAGGAGTATTGATATTATCTGGATATCATACGCTACCTCGAGAACCAATATATTGGAGTTTAGACGAAGATGTTGGGGTGGAATTGATCGCTCAAGCCTTATCGAGGCATAGGTTTCGAGACACAAAAAGAAACCTTCATCTGGTCGACAACAATTCAGCAGCAACGTCGAATGATAAAATGTTCAAGATAAGACCATTGGCCGACGCTCTTATGCAGAAATTTTTACAGTGGGGGATGTTTCATGATAGTATCTCCGTAGACGAATCGATGGTGAAATATTATGGCCACCCCCCTTCTAAGCAGTTCATTCGTGGAAAACCAGTACGTTTTGGATACAAAAATTGGGTAGCGGCCAGTTCTACAGGATATTGTTACACATTCGATTTTTACTGTGGAAAGTCACAAGTAACTACTTCTGATCCATTGGGATCTCGAGTTGTCAAAAATTTATTGGAAAAACTGAATTGTAACCCAGCAAATCACGAGGTTTTTTTGACAACTTTTTTACAAGCTACGATCTATTGGTTGACTTGAAAAACCTAGGCTACCGAGCTACTGGAACTGTACGAGGAAACCGAACTAAAAAATGCCCACTGACTAGCACGAAGAACATGAAAAAGAAAGAGCGCGCATCTTTTGACTACAGATTTGACAAGGAAAGTGAACTGCTACTGGTAAGGTGGAAAGACAATAGTGTATGTACAATGGCGACCAACTACGATACCATTGAACCATTAGGGACTGTCAAGCGATGGTGTCCAGTAAAACGGCAGAAGACCGACGCACAGTGCCGCGAAGGTGGACAAAAATACAAAAATCGACTGTCTTGAAACTTAGATGTTTTGATGTCAAGTTACAGCTAAATCTCCAACTAAGAGAAGTTCATAAGTTATTTTGTGATAAAAACAACTTTCAGCCTCACACACCCCCTCAAAGTACACCTATTTTCTACATACCATTTCATTTCGGCGATTCGCACATAAAAGTGGTCGCAGTTAAAAATTTGTTAAAAATACATTTTTATTCCTAGCAAGATCAACTTTTGCACTTTGATAAAGATATATTCGACAAATCAAAAAATGTATGGTTCATGGAAAAAAAATTTATACAAATATTTTTTTTTTATTAATAAATAAATATATGATTAAACATACCAAAATCCGAAAATTGGTAATCTTTGGAGACAAAAACAAAAAAACATCTTGAAAGTTCGTGAATTTTTTTTTTTGGTTATGGTAGTTTGGACCTTCTACTAACAGAAACAATCGAAATCTCTTCCAACTTTTTCCAATATTTGAAAATTTTCAATTTTGAAAAAGTGACTAAATGCCTTTTTTTGGTATTATTTTAGCTGATCTATATTTACAATACTTTTTCTGAATGCCCTAAGATCTAAATTTTTGGTTCGCTTTTCAAAAATAAGGTGTTGAATTAAAGCTAAAAGTGCAAAAAAAAAAAATTAAGAGGTACAGGGTGCTTTGAAATGAAAAAAATTATCAGCTAATTAAAATACTTAAATATGCATCACGGTATGGGAGCCAAAAACAAAGGTATACGAAGATTTACATATATATATATATACATATATATATATATATATAGAGCAATGACACCAGTTTACAAATAATATGTTAACCAATTCGGGTAAGGAAATAAATGCAATCGAGACACCTTACAGCGCCCAATGATTAGACGAAAGGCGAACAAAAAGAAAATAAAAATAAATAACATACCTATTACTCTTCATCTGCATAAAGAGTAC